TCTTTCAACGCCCCTGTGTTTCCATGTTGTATATTTGCCGTTCCTCTTCTTGCTGCGCTCTTCTGAAATCACTGTTGGGTGCTCTTCTTGCGCACTGCGGGTCCTTCAGAATGCCAGTCAGCATTGAGTGGTCCTGAGTATAATCGCCACATGTATAGAAAGGGTTGGGTACGTCACAGGGTAATTGATTTGTTTTATGTTTGATGCATGTTTAATGTGGTGGCACCTTCAGCTGGCGCGGGTCTCATATGTCCCCTGCCTCTTCCATTGATTCTCAGCAGCTGAGATGCTTCAGTGCGTCAGTCGGTTTGCCACTCGCGCCTTGGCGTGTTGGGCTGGACAGGCTGAGTTGCCGATTGTCTAGCAGCGGGGATTCTTCATCGGGCCGTTCGGAGTGCTACTCGCGCACGGGCGCGTAAGCTTTCTGGATCGTCTTGCAGGTGTTGCGCGGAAGAAAGGGGATTCCCTCCTCCACTCCCCGCATCATCGCCTTTATTCCGGCATGTGTCTTCTCCAAGTCCCACTCCCTCTTTCTCCTCCGTCTGCCTCCTCGCCTCTTCCTTTCCAAGAGGCCAAAAGGCTGCGCCAATATGACCTTCGCACAATCGGATCTAATCCACACTCTTTGGCATTCATTGCTTGTTTTACGGTCTCTGGGATCTTCAACTTTTCGGCTGATGTAGCTATTCGGCGTGCCTGGGAGAGGAGAGACCGTAGAGGGTCCATTACCCGAGACGTACCCAAACACTTTGCACGCGAGGCGACTATTCACATGAACCACTTCCCGCGAGAGAGCACGTTGCGAGACATGCCGCACTCTGGAATGATTTGCCAGACAATGTAGGGCCATGCGGGTCGCACACCTGCGCAGATCCGATCGCGAAAAGGGACAGCGACGCGACACGCACGAACATGGTAATTGTTGCACAGCTCGCAGCCCACCCTCAGAGCAGCGAGGTCGCAACAGGATCGGTTTGATTGCCCACTCCGCTGTGCCTTCCAGGAGCCCACGACCGTGACGACAGTTGCGCAGTTTGCAGCCCTCCGAGGCAGCCGCGAGATCTCGCCTGGGTCCGTACTGCCCTGACCTCCGCCGTGCCTCCCGGGAGCCCACGGAGCAAACAAAACGACAGTTGCGCAGTTCGCAGCCTCCCATGGGGACGCGGGGTCTCGCCTGCATCCGCGCTGCCCTGCACCTCCGCCGTGCCTCCCAGGAGCCCACGAACGTGGCCGACAGCTGTGCAGCTCGCAGTCCCCGAGGGAACCGCGGGGTCTCACATGGACCTGCGCTGCCCTCGCCTCCGCCGCGCCTCCCAGGAGCCCACGGAGAGTGGCCGACCGTCGCGCGGCTCGCAGCCCTCAAGAGGCAAAACTCTGTCCCTGGAGCTCTCAGAGCATCCAGGACGGCCCGCGAGGCCTCCAAGGCCGCCCCAGGACGGCCCAGGAGGCCCCCCCCCTGCAGGGCTCCAGGACGGCCCACGAGAGCCCCAAGAAGGCCCCAAGCATGCCCCCGAGGCAGCCCAGGATTGCCCCAGGACGGCCCCAAGAGGGGGCCCAGGAGGGGGTGGCCGAAGGGACATGTCAAGCCTCCGGCCCCAAGACGCCCCCCCCCCGGGAGGCCCCTGGAGCAGCCATCACGGCGGCCAGGGGCGGCCCCGAGGCGCCCCCGCGGCGCCCTCCAGGGGCCTTTGACGACCCAAGATGCCTTTCAAACGGCCCAAGAGGCGTCCACGACGCCTCAAGACCACTCCACGAGGACCCCCAAGAGGGCCCCGAGAAGCAACACCTCCTCCCAATTCTTTCTGGGAGTACGTGCTCTTTTCATGTGTGTGCGCTGTGGGCTTCAACACGGTCCAGGACAACCCAAGCGTTCTCCGACACCGCCCCAGGACTGCCCAAGAGGGCCCCTAGACGGCCCAAGAGGGCCCCAAGACGGACCAAGGAGCCCCGAAGACGGCCCAAGAGAGGCCCAAGCTGGCCCACCAGGGGCAACCCGAGCTGCAATTTCGAGTCCTTCGCCCAAAGACGACCCCCGAGGCCGCCAACAGGCCGCCAACAGGCCCAAGGGGCCCCGGGAGGCCCAAGAGAGGGCCCAAAGAAGCACCCAAGAGACCCCTGGGCGCACCCGGGAAGGCTCCAGGAGACCCCCAAGATGCCCCCAACCGGGCTCCGAGAGACTTCCAAACAGACCCCGAGATACGTTGATGAGGCCTCTGGCCTACGACTCAGCCATATTCTCCTGATCTATCCCAGACCACCGTCAAGGCGGCCCCAAGAGGGCCCCGAATCGCCTCCAAGACGGTTTCGAAGAGTCTCCGACGGCCTGGGGGGATGTCTGCCTGAAGTTGCTCGTGGTGGCAAGAGGCCTTCTGGAGGTCCAAAAGAGGGCCTAAAGAAGCACCCAAGGGACCCCAGGACGCACCCGGGAAGGCTCTAGGAGACACCCAAGAGGCCCTCAACCGGGCTCCGAGGGACGTCTTCAGAGACCCCAAGATGCGTCTACGAGGCCTTTGGCCCACAACCCAGCCATATTCCCCTGATCGATCCCAGACCGCCGTCAAGGCGGTTCCAGAGGGCCCCGAATCGCTCCCAAGACCGGGTTCGAAGATTCTCCGACGGCCTGGGGGGAAGCGTGTGTGTGTGTGTGTGTGTGTGTGTGTGTGCGTGTGTGTGTGTGTGTGTGTGTGTGTGTGTGTGCGTGTGCGGTTGTGTGTGTGTGTGTGTGTGTGTGTGTGTGTGTGTTGTGTGCGGTGTGTTGTGTGTGTGTGTTGTGTGGTGTGGGTGCGTGTGCGTGTGTGTGTGTTTGTTGTGTGTGTGTCCTTGCCGACTGGACGTTGACGGGACACAGTCGCGCTTAACTTCGGGTTTCCGTGAAGTGATCTGGATCGTGGTAAACATCGCGCCAATCTTCTGCTCGAGTTCGCCTCAAAGTGCCAGTTTCGGCCTTCGGGCCGTCAGATCTATCCGGTGGGCATGGCCGCCGGAGTGGACCCCAGGTAATCGTGGGGTTCGATTCTTTACGCCACCTGGTGCACCACGCTTTGAGGGCGTATGCACCGATGCTGGGGCCCAGGAAGCTGCTGGCCAGGATCGGCGCACGCGAAAGCATGAGTACTCCCCCGCCGGTGCCTGCACCAAGGGGCTCTCAAGTCTTCGTCCCCCAAAGGGAGGAGGTTCTGGCTTGTGTCCCGCAGGGACTGGATGCGTCTGGCGGAGTTTTGCGCAGTGCCCAGCTGGTGGTCGTGGTGCCTGCCTGGGGCCTCATGGGCGCCTCGTGGGCGCCTCGTGCACCAGGTGGCCGTGCCGAGGTTTCGCCCGGCGCTCGCCCGTGGCCGCCCGTGGCTGCCTCGTGGGCGCCTCGTGCGCTGGGCGGATCGCCTGCACCACGTAGCCTGCGCCACGTAGCCTCGTCACGGCCTTCGCCACGCATCGTACACCACGCAGGTGGCACCACACAGCTCACGCCACACATGCTACGCCAAAGGGCCTGCACCGCATAGCCTGCACCGCATCGCTTACACAACGTGGCTTGCACCACGTGCGCATTACACCGCGCAGCTTGCGAGCCATATCTTGCATCACACGGCTCACACCACATAGCTTGCCTCACAGAGCTTGCACCGCGTAGCGTTCACCATCTAGGCCGCACCACATTGGCCGCACCACAAACACAGCTCACACCACCTAGCTTGCACCACATCTTACGCCTCCGCAGTGCGGTAACTCACTGTTCACCCAGCTTGCACCACATCTTACGCCTCCGCAGTGCGGTAACTCACTGTTCTAGAGGGCCCCAAGCCACTCCGAGTCTTGAAAAGGCCAACCGTGCGCAACGTCCTCGGTGCTCACCCAGCCTCAAAACGGCTCCTGGATGCCTCTCGGGCCTCTCGGGGACCCAGAGACCTGCACGAAGCCTTCGAGAGGCGGTCCGCAAGGCCCCTCAAGAGACAGCATGCCTCACATCGGCAATCATTCGATCCCGCAAGGCATTCAGACACCCTCTTCGCGTGGCAAGGCTGGGGGGGGGGGGACGTCATGCGACGTAGGCCTCCCCTCACAAGGCGGGCGACCCCCTCCAGTTGTCTGGATTCCTCGGGGCGGCGTGGGATGGACCCTGCCTTGACCTGTCAGGTCGCCACGACGACAAGGCAAGGCAAGACGAGGCAAGACGAGACAGGACGAGACAGGACGAGACGAGGCAAGGCCAGACATGACAGCCTCCAGGACGGCCGTAAGATGCCCCAAGCGGGCCCTAGAGGGTCCAAACCTTGAGGAAACTAATCGATCTGCGCCTTGTCGCCTATTTGCTCCCGATGGGCTCTTGATGCTTCAAGATGGCCCAAGAGAGGCTCCAGACGGGCCTCGTGAAAACCGTTCCAGATCTCGAAAAGGCCAACAGGACGAACCGTGGACGGGCGGCTACGAGGACCAACCGTGGATGGGCGGCAAGATGGCCCCAGGAGGAGGCCCCCAGGAGGAGGCCCCCCCAAAGGCTCCCCGGAGGGCCCCGCAGAGGCCCTCTCTCAAGCACAGGGCCTCCGAGAGGCCCCCGACCGGCCCCCAAGCGGGCCCCCCCCCAAGGGGCTCCCAGGAGGTCTCGCTAGGCGGGCGTGTGTGTGTGTGTGTGTGTGTGTGTGTGTGTGTGTGTGTGTGTGTGTGTGTGTGTGTTAGTGTGTTAGTGTGTGTGTGTGTGTGTTAGTGTGTGTGTGTGTGTGTTAGTGTGTGTGTGTGTGTGGAAGTCTGCCGGCGTGGGTCCATGGCGAGGGGCAAGCCCGACCCTGAAGGGAAAGAATGGGGTCGGCAGAGGACGCGCCCTGACCACCCAGGGTCCAGGGGGCTGGTGGGGTTTACCCGAGCCTGTAGGATCGCTGGAGTGATCTCCGCCTCAGTTGCGGCTCAGGCCGTTCGGGTCGATCCTAATCTTGCACGGCAGTTTTTGTTCGGGCGAGCTTCGCCGAGAGTTCACACTCAGATCGCCGAAAACTTGTCACGGAGGCACCATGGGAGCTATCAGCCGGACGGGATGGGCGTCCGCCCCAGCAGCACTCGTTTGCACAGTCGTGGCATTGCTCGGAGTGTCAGATGCTCGGAATCCCACGTCTGACGTGCCCATCTACACCACCTCTGATGTCGACGTAGGGACGGAGCGCCATTGGACGCTTGTGCTGGAGGACGATGCTACAGATGAAGAGCTGGGTG